CCTTACTGACCAGGAATATTTATGTTTTACAGTCATAATGGTAGCCCTGCAGTGCACTCTGGGAGTGAGCAAGCGAGCATTGGCAGTTCATTGTAGTAGTGTAGGCAGCCTGTGTCTTTAGCATGATGAGGTGGTAGGATGCACCCGAGCCAGCGGGCCAGCATCCTTGGTGGCTCTAAGCTCTCAGAAAAGCTATTTAAACTCTCTGAGCTTTCCTACAATGTTCTTTTGAGGATTAGAAGTAATTGAAAGTGACAAATCCTGAAAGAAGAAGCTCAACAAATAATCATTAATTGCTCCTGATCCTCTGAATGAATTGAGGGGTGTCCTTAATTAGGTGTATGCACAAAGATCAACTGGGAGCAAAGGAAAATGTTAGAACTTGTGTTTCTGTTTATTTTTAACCTCACTCGTTTACAATTTCTGTTTTTTTGTGAATATTTTAAAATATTGGCTGGGTACAGTGGCTTATGCCTATAATCCCAGCACTTTGGGAGGCTGAGGCAGGCGGATCACCTGAGGTTGGGAGTTCAAGACCAGCTTGGCCAACGTGGTGATGTCTCTACTAAAAATACAAAAATTAGCCGGGCGTGGTGGCGCACGCTTGTAGTATTAGCTTTTCTCTCTCTCTCTCTCTCTCTACATATATATGTATACACACACACACACAATATATATATACATGCTATATATATACACTGTATATATACTGTATGTATAATATCTGGTGATGAGTTGTGTGATATACATTCATTTTCTCTGTTGAGTAGATTGACCTAACTTTGAACCTAACTTTGAACCTCAATCTTAAGAGGTAAAGTAGTAGTTTGCCAATTTAATGCTGCACAAAGGATTATTTAAGTAATAACAACAATAATAATATCACATCGTATCTGACAAAACTTCCTAGCACATCATAAATAATAATAAGACACAGGCTTGGGCAATAGAATAATTACTGATTTTCAAATGTAACTGCTTCATGTGTGGTTATAAACGAGGTAATCATGGCATTAAGGTTTGGTATACGTTTAGAAAGGAAAAAGAAAGCTGAGGTTTTAGTAAAGCAGAAAAACACTAAGCTTTAAAAATGAAGCCTGAAACCATGGAAAGAGGTTTAACTTCCCTAGTAATCAGGATAATTGCTGAATGCAAATTGAATGCAAATACAAATTGAAACATTAAAGTACAATGTATTGCCCACCATGTTGGCAGAAATGTTAACATCTGATGATTATCTAGCGCGACTGGAGATGTGGGACGCTTTCTTGTGGAAGTGTAAGTCAGTACAACCACTTTGGAGGATAATTTGGCAACATTTTCAGAGTTAAAAATGCTCATGCTTTGTAAACCTGCCATTTGTAGTCTCTGGATCTGCCCTAGGGAGATAGTCTTGGGTTTTTTTTTTTTTTTTTTTTGTGAATGTCTTCCACAGGGAGATACTCTTAACACAAAGTGGCATGTAGAAGCGTGTTCAATGCAGCACCACTATTAATAGCAAACAGTTGGAGGCACCCATCAGTGGGGGAATGGTTAAAAAGGTTGTTATTTTTTTTTTAAGTGCAATGTAATTCACATATGATAAATTTCACCATCTTAAAGTGCACAATTCAGAGTTTTTTAGTATATTCACAGAGTTGTACTACTATCACCTCTAAATAATTCCAGAACATTTTCATTACCCCAAAAAGAAACTAATACCCATTAGCAGTCACTCCCCATTTCTCCCTTCTCCCTTCTCCCATCCCCTGGAAACCACCAATCTACTTTCTGTCTCTGAATTTGCGTGTCCTGGACATTTAATATAAAGAAATGGAATCATACAATCTGTGGTACTTTTTATTTGGCAACAGCTTTATTGAGATGTGCTTCACATATCACACAATTCACCTTTTTCTTTTTGCGGGGGATGGAGTCTTGCTCTATGGCCCAGGCTGGAGTGCAGTGCTACAATCTCAGCTCACTGCAACCTCCGCCTCCTGGGTTCAAGCGATTCTCCTGCCTCAGCCTCCTGAGTAGCTAGGATTACAGGTACCTGCCGCCACGCCCGGCATGTATCATGGGTGGGCATCCTTCACGTTGGCAAAATAAACTTCCAAACTTGACTGAGACTTGTCTCAGATACTCTGGTTTACATAACCATCCTAGTGGGTATGGAGTGGTATCTCATTATAGTTTTTATTTGCATTTCCCTAATGATTTATGATGTTGAACATCTTTTCATGTGTTTCTCAGCCATTTGTACATCTTCTTTTCCGAAATATCTATTCGATTTATTTATGTGTATTTTTATTTTTATTTTATTTTGTTTGATATTTTGAGATGGAGTCTCACTCTGTCCACCAGGCTGGAGTGCAGTGGCATGATCCTAGCTCACTGCAATCTCTGCCTCGTGGGTTCAAGCGATTCTCCTGCCTCAGCCTCCTGAGTAGCTGGGATTAGAGGTGCCCGCCACCACGCCCAGCTAATTTTTGTATTTTTTTAGTAAAGACGGTATTTCACCGTGTTGGCCAGGCTGGTCTCGAACTCCTTAACTCAGGTGATCCGCCCGCCTCGGCCTCCCAAAGTGTTGGGATTACAGGCGTGAGCCACCACATCTGGCCTCAATTTATTTTTAATTAAAAATTTTTTAAAAAATTTTTAGGCCGGGCGCGGTGGCTCAAGCCTGTAATCCCAGCACTTTGGGAGGCCGAGACGGGCGGATCACGAGGTCGGGAGATCGAGACCATCCTGGCTAACACGGTGAAACCCCGTCTCTACTAAAAAATACAAAAAACTAGCCGGGCGAGGTGGCGGGCGCCTGTAGTCCCAGCTACTCGGGAGGCTGAGGCAGGAGAATGGCGTGAACCCGGGAGGCGGAGCTTGCAGTGAGCTGAGATCCGGCCACTGCACTCCAGCCTGGGCGACAGAGCGAGACTCCGTCTCAAAAAAAAAAAAATTTTTAGAGCCAGAGTCTTGCTCTGTCACCCAGGTGGAGTACGTTGGTATCATTATAGCTCACTGCAGCCTCCACCCCCTGGGCTCAAGCAGTCTTCCTGTCTCAGCTACCTGAGTAGGACTACAGTTGCCTACCACCACATCTGGCTAAGTTTTTTCTTTTTTTTTTTTTTTCTTTTTTTAAGACAAGGTCTCACTCTGTTACCCAGGCTGGAATGTAGTGGCACAATCACGGCTCACTGTAGGTTCCACCTCCGAGGCTTAAGCAGTGCACCCATTTCAGCCTCCCATGTAGCTGGGATTAACAAGCATGAACAACCATACCTAGCTAATTTTTTTTAAATTTTTTAATTTTTTAATTTTTTTTCCTTTTTAAAACGGAGTCTCACTCTGTCGCCCAGGCTGGAATGCAACAGTGCAATCTCAGCTCACTGCAACCTCCGCCTCCCAGGTCAAGCAACTCTCCTGCCTCAGCCTTCAGGGTAGCTGGGATTACAGGCACTTGCCACCACGCCCAGCTAATTTTTGTATTTTTAGTAGAGACCAGGTTGATGCCTTTACATCTGAGTTTTTGCAAAAGTAGAGACCAGTGTTTTACCATGTTGGCCAAGCTGGTCTTGAACTCCTGACCTCAGGTAATCCACCTGTCTTGGCCGCCTAAAGTGCTGGGATTACAGGTGTGAGCCACTACACCTGGCTCCTAGCTAATTTTTAAATTTTTTTGTAGAGGCAGGGTTTTCCTGTGATGCTTAGGCTAGTCTCGAACTCCTGGGTCCAGGTAATCCTCTCTCCTCAGCCTCCCAAAGTGCTGGAATTACACATGTGAGCTACTGTGCCTGGTCAGAAATATCTATTCAATTTGTGGCTTCTTTTCTTTCCTTCTTCTTCTTTTTTTTTTTTTTAAACAGGGATGGGGTCTTGCACAGCCTGGAGTGCAGTGGCTGTTTACAGGTGCAACCATGGTGCACTACAATCTTGAACTCCTAGGCTCAAGCAATCCCCCTGCTTCAGCCTCCTGAGTAGCTAAGATATGAGCAGGTGCCACTGCGCTTGGTTCTGTGGCATTTTTTGTTGTTGTTTTTGTTTGTTTGTTTGAGATGGAGTTTCACTCTTGTTGCCCAGGCTGGGGCGCAGTGGCACCATCTCAGCTCACTGCAACCTTCACCTCCCGGATTCAAACGATTCTCCTGCCTCAGCCTCCCTAGTAGCTGGGATTACAGGTGCCCACCAACACACCCAGCTAATTTTTTGTGTTTTTAGTAGAGACGGGGGTTTCACTATGTTGACCAGGCTGGTCTCGAACTCCTAACCTCAGGCGATCCACCCGCTTCGGCCTCCTGTGCTGGGATTACAGGGGTGAGCCACCGCACCTGGTTGGTGCTGTGACATTTTTATACTATGCTGCCCAGCTGTTAAAAGGAATGAAGCAAATCTGTACATAATAATCCCTGACTAGATCTCTAAGACTTAATGCTAAGCAAAATAGCAAGTAGTAGGATGATATATTATACTACCATAAATTTTATATAAATAAAAACACTCAGGTGTGCCATGCATACACTTACACACACACTCTCACACCCTGTTACTGTTCAGTTAAATATATATATATATATATATATATATATGTAAGAGGATAGAGAAGGGCCTGATACAATATTTCCCAACCTTTCCAAGATAGTTTGTTACCTTGGGCCAGGAAGAGAGAGAACGAAGATGGGGGTGGAAGTGGGGTATGATCTAAAGGGACTTTTGTCTTATTTATGACATTTTACATAGTATCCATGTACTGTTTGGCTAACAAAAGTGTAAAAGCTCCTTAAAATGTAATTACAACCTGAAAAAATAAGAACATGGGAGCTCTTGGGGAACTGTAGCAGGAGATGGGTTAGAATCCATGCTCCATGCGCCCTGGCAAAGGAATGTGTATTCATTGACTCCTTTTATAGCTCAGCTTTATTTTGTCTGGGGTCCTTCCTCTTTTTCAAAATAATTTTATTATTTTTTAATACTTTGTATCAATTCAAATAGCATGGAGGTTTATAAAGTGAAAATGAACTTACCTGCCCTCTTCACCTGAAACTACCTACCCTAAGGTAGTGTTAGTGCACGTCCTTTTCCTGCGGAAATTCTGTGTTTTGGTATTATCTCCCACCCACCCAGTAAGCTGTGCTTCCATCTTCTTGTGGTGAAAGCTCCTTCCTTTCTGGGAGAGGGAGGTCTTCATTTTGAAGCATCCGTGGAATGGTCTGCAGGCTTGCTTTGTGTCACCTCCTACCCAAGATTGTGATGTAGTAGGTCTGAAGTTCTACTTGGGCGTCTTCATTTTATAAAAAGTTCCCGTGGTGATTCTGGTGAACCAACAGAGGGTTAAGAGTCATTTATCTAGGGAGTAGCAGGGCAATCATAAATTGTGCCCATGCTGCTGCTTTGGGAATTATTTTTGGTAGCTGCTTTATGAGAATGATGAGCCTGTCAGCTTTATGGAAACATGCCTGAACTTAGATGGTCTGTTTTCTTCCAGGAATTTCACAGGACTTTTACTTTAGGTTATTTTCAGCATTTGTGTTTTTGTAACTAAATATTCAACATGGAACTGCTATTTGAGTCTGAGAAAGTGATCATGGATTCTTTTTTGAAAATGATGGAAATAAACAGTACATGGCAAACTTAGCTTGTAAACTCTGCCATTTCACATTGAAAATGGGTGGATATAGTAAAAATGACAGGTGATAAATCTTCACCAGTCAGAGTATCCTTGGGTCTTGATTTAAAATGCTTTTCCTCCCCCACAGCCTGACTTTTGTGCTTCATTTTAGTGTGTTTGCCTGAGATGTGAGTGAGAAATTCATGTGATAGATGTCTCACATCTCCCTAAAATGTGTAAAACGAAGCTGTGCCCCAACCACCTAGGGCACATGTCAGGACCTCCTGAGGCTGTGTCATATCTTAAATTTGAGTAATCTTTCTCATATCTTAAATTTATGTTAAATTTTCTCTTATAGGTATTCTCATGGGAGCAGTTATAAAAATTATAGAGTTTAAAAAACTGGCGAATTGGAAGGTAGGTTTGCCCTTTGGTGGTTCTTAATTTTAGTAACATTGATGGTTATGCTGGCTTTTTTTGGGTAATTACTTGGCTATCAGTGGAGTTATTTATATTATTATATTATATACCCCATTAATTTTAAATTTTTTTTTATTAGATACAGGCTGATGCCTTTACATCCGAGTTTTTGCAAAAGCATAAGTCTCATACTGTTTCAAGTGCACGTGGGAGCACCAATGTCATTTTGTTGTTGTTGTTATTATACTTGCATTTTTGTAATCCTAGGCTAACCTACTTTATTAGGCAGGAAAATTCTCTAATTAGCATTAAACATTAAATACTGTTTATTGCTCCCAATTCCATTCTGACAACTGAGGATAATAAAACATACTTGTCTGGTACTGTGAGACACAGTACTTCATATATTGTGGCTCATATTATCCTCATGACGGTCATGTGAGGTGGATTGTCTGGGTATTGTAATATCATCACCCCATTTTTACACATGAAAAAGGTGACACTCAGGGAGATTGGGATGTATTCAGTGTCACAGAGCTAGAAAGAAAGTGGCTGAGTGGAGTCTTGTGTCCAAACCCTCTGGCCTGAATATGCAGTGTTTTCTCCACCATACCACCCCGTCCTCAGTTTGCTAATATACATACCCTTGTGTTAAAGAGGTTATTAGAGTATGAACATCATCCTGGGATGCAAGTACTCATTGAAACTGGAATTTCAATATCAACTTGAACATCCATGTTGAGTAGGGTGAGATTAACAAGTATGCTACAAAATTTATTTTGTGGAGGGAAATAAGATTCATTTCAAAATAGTAAAGAATTATGTGGCTAAAATTGATCACATTTGAGCCCTTCCTACTTTGATGAAGCTCCTAGGTCCTAGGATTATTTGACCTGTGAAACTATAGAGTATAAAATTAGCAAGACAAACCTTATAGCCTAACATAAAACACAATTTGAAGCTGTTATAAATAGTAGTAATGAAATATTTTATATATTAAATAAATTTTCAAAATGTGTATTGAACTTCGAAGAGTGATAGGACACACCTCTGCTGGGGAGGCCCCAATGGAGCACATTACGTGTGAGATCTCTGCCTTCCCGCGACTTGGTTACGTTTAACCACTCTAAGAGTGGGTCATGACTGAAGAGCCTTTTTCTACTCCTAGGCTGGATATAGCCTGATGTGTAGATTTTGCCCACTAACCCATTTTGTTTGATCTGATTTAAAAATCATTTGATCAAGACTGGGCATGGTGGTTCATGCCTATAATCCCAGCACTTTGGGAGGCCAAGGTGGGTGGATCGCCTGAGCCCAGGAGCTTGAGGCCAGCCTGGGCAACATGGTGAAACTGTGTCTCTACAAAAATACAAAAAAATAAAAAAATAAAATAAATGATCAAAATTTGAATTGACTGTAAAACAGTTAAAAATTGTTAGATTTTGGCCAGGTGTGGTGGCTCATGCCTGTAAACCCAGAACTTTGAGAGGCCAAATCGTGTGGATCATCTGAGGTCAGGAGTTTGAGACCAGCCTGTCCAACACGGTGAAACCTTGTCTCTACTAAAAATACAAAAAATTAGCTGGGCGTGGTGGCACATACCTGTAGTCCCAGCTACTTGGGAGGCTGAGGCACAAGAATCACTTGAACCCGGGAGGTGGCGGTTGTAGTGAGCCAAGATTGAGCCACCGCACTCCAGCCTGGGTGACAGAGTGAGGCTCCATCTCAAAAAATAAAAAAAAAAAGTTAGATTTTAAAATATTAACAGTCTATATAAAATTCTGGAAATTTTACATAAAATTCAGAACTTCTAGCTTCTCTTGGAAAAGCAGAAGCTCTCTTAACACTAGGTCCAGCAGTGTTCAGAGACACTGAGCAGAGGGGCTTATCTTCCGGGTCATGCAGTGTGGCCCCAAGAAACCTTTGCTTGTGACCCCTGCTGTAAGCAGTGGGAGTAGGGGAATGGGAGGTGATCTTTCACTTCTAGTTTTATATGCATCATTGTTACTGAATTTTTGTTTTCCAACAGATGTTACTTTACAAGATAAAATAATAGAATGTATTTAACAGTATAGACCATGAAACAAGTTAGGTAATGGATGTGATAAAGTGCCTGAAGTGTCATCCAGATAACCAGTGCTTGACCTCAGAAAAGAAGGCTAGATTGGGGATGCCAGCATGTACCAGTGGTCCCACCTACTTGGGAGGCTGAGGCAGGAGGATTGCTTGAGCCCAGAAGTTTGAGGCTGCAGTGAGTTATAATTGCACCACTGCAGTCCAGCCTGGGTAACAGAGCAAGACCCTGTCTCTAAAAAAAAAAAAAAAAAAAAAAAAATTGGGGCAGGCTTCCTTTAGGAGCCTGCATTTGTGGAGAGTCAGAGTGAGAAGCAGGATATCTGCCTGGAAACCAGATGTACAGGGAGCAGTCGGAAGTCAGAAAAACAAGAGGAGCTGGTAGTTTCTTTCCCTGAAGTTCTGATTCCAAACTGACCTGCTGGGTCTGCATTCTACCTGTATTATCATGTGCTTAATTTTTTTCTATTAACTTGCTTTTTAAATATATATATATATTATTTATTTGTTTATTACTTTCTTTTTTTGACACAGAGTCTCGCTCAGTTGTCCAGGCTAGAGTGCAGTGGTGCAGTCTCGGCTCACGGCAACCTCTGCCTCCCGGGTTCAAATGATTCTTCTGTCTCAGCCTTCTGAGTAGCTAGGCAGGAGAACGGGCATGTGCTACCGTGCCCGGCTAATTTTTGTATTTTTAGTAGAGACAGGGTCTCACCTTGTTAGCCAGGCTGGTCTCAAACTCCTGACCTTAAGTGATCTACCCACATTTTCCTCCCAAAGTGCTGGGATCACAGGTGTGAGCCACTGTGCCTGGGTGTGGCTAATTTTTTTTAAAAAATTTTGTAGAGACACGATGTCACTATGCTGCTCAGACTGATCTCGAACTCCTGAGCTCATGTGATCCTCCCACCTTGGCCTCCCAAAGTTTTAGGATTACAGGATTGAGCCACCGTGCCTGGCCTATATATTTATTTTCTTATTTTGTTTTCTTTTCTTTTTTTTTTTTTTTGTGGGGGCTTGGCGGGGAGTGGACAGAGTCTCACTGTGTTACCCAGGCTGGAGTGCAATGGAGTGGTCTCAGCTCACTGCAACCTCCGCCTCCCAGGTTCAAGCAGTTCTCCTGCCTCAGCTTCCTGAGTAGGTAGGATTACAGGTGCCTGTCACCACGCCCAGCTAATTTTTGTATTTTTAGTAGAGACAAGGTTTCACCAAGTTGGCCAGGCTGGTCTCGAACTCCTGACCTCGTGATCCATCCACCTTGGCCTCCCAAAGTGCTGGGATTACAGGCATGGGCCCCCACGCCTGGCCATGTTTATTTTCAAGGCAATGTTACAGTACTATTTCCATTCAGAAACTAATATTGTTTTGTAAACATGATAAAAATGAAGTAGTACAGATGCCTGCTGAAGCATCAAAGGTCAAGTCTGCTCTCTGTGGAGGGAGATCAGCACGTTAGAGCCCTTAGAGGCGGTATTGCCATCCTAAGGTGTCTTGGATTTATTTGGACCTGAAGAAATAATCAAAAGGGGCTGTCTCAATCCGTGAGGTCAGTGGTATTTGACACACACTGCTCAAGTGCCACCTAAAATCACCTCAGACCATTTTGTGGGAGCCATTGCCAAAAGGAACTATAACACTATTTCCCTGAAAGGCCGTGTGTTCATAAGGGCTGCAGTAACAAATTACCACAAACTAAGTGGCTTAAAATAACAGAGATTCGTTGTCTCACAGTTCTGGAGGCCAGAAGTGAGAAGTCAAGGTATCAGCAGGACCGGGTTCCCTCCCAAAGACTCTAGAAAATAATTCTTCATTGCATCTCCCAGCTTCTGGTGGCCCAGGTTTTCCTTGGCTTGTGGCCGCATCGCTCCTGTCTTTGTCTCTGTGCTCACGTGGGCTTCTTCTACACGTCTCTGTGTGCCTCGTTCTGTCTCTTACAAGTTGATGTTTGCTGCCTTTGGCCTTCCCTTATCCAGCGTAAGGTCATCTAGATCCTTACCTTCATTAGATCTGCAGAGACCCTATTTCCAAGTAAGGTCACATTCTGAGATTCCTAGTGGACAGGAATTGGGGTTGGGGTTGGGGGACACTATGTAACCCCACTATAGGTAGATTCTCCTTTTTCCCAGGGTGGGAGGGGTAGTTTTTGTACCTCCAAAAGGCTGTATATAGTGGTCCTGCTGCACAGATCCTGAGAATAGG